AAAAAACAAACAAACAAACAAAAACACCACCACCACAACAACAAAACCCCCCAAAACCTGGACGCAGCGTGCGAAGCTAGGGCTCCAGTCAGCAAGCATGGCCTGAGGAAGTGTAGCGCCAGGAACTCACGCTGTCTGCGGACGCCGAGTCCGTACTTCCCCCCAGTCCACGTCTTCTTACTCCCCAACTTTTTCCTCAAACTCCTTCAGCTCCGGACTCCACTCAACAAATATCCACTTCTCTGTGCCCCTCGTCTGAGTCGGGCCTCCTTCCTTGGCACCCAAAACAGGAAAAGCAAAAACAGCCTGGAAGTCTTCCTTACCCGGCCTTGTCTGTGGACGCTGGCGGTCCCTTCCATTTCTCTTTCTCCTTGTCTTTGTCTTTCTTGGTTCCTGCTGTGGTCGAATCATCCTCGAAAACGCTGAAAAGCTCGTCCCCGAAAGCGTCCGCCATCTTTCGGAGCTCTGAGACCGAATCTCCCTCCTACCCAGAAGGCCTCACGATTTTACCTACAGTGACGCCAAATAGAGACTCTACGGTGGCCCGTAGGCATCAAAAATAATCGAGTCTTAAAGCCTGCGTGACTTTTCCCCTTTTAGTCTGGGTTTTGCCCCTTTCTTTTCTTTTTCGACCACTGCGAGGTGGGCAATTCGATGACTAAAAACTCACCGATAAGTGGCTCGCCACTCCAGACATGCCGCGGGCTCCCGGGAGCCAAGAGGCGGGGCCAGAGCCAGGTAAAACGGACCAATTAGGCCGGAGCCTCAGCCGAGGAGCCCGGATGGAGGAGGCTGGGTGGAGGCGTGAGAGCCGGCTAACGTGAGTCGCTCTCCGGCTTCTGTTGTGTGGCAGCTGGGACCTGGATCTGGAAGAACACTCTCCTGCAGCTGAAACATGGGCGGCAAAAACAAGAAACACAAGGCTCCGGGAGCTGCGGCGGTGCGGGCTGCGGTGTCGGCTTCCAGAGCCAGAAGTGCCGAGGCCGGAGCTGTTGGGGAACAGAGCAAGAAGCCCGTAGCCAGGCCGGCGCCCGCCGTACCCACCGGCACCCGGGAGCCCCGAGTCAAGCAAGGTACGCTTGGTCCAGTGCCCAGTCTTCTACCCTCAGTCCTTGCTCCTTGTGCAGCAAAGAAGTCACAGCCGTGCTGATGAGAGCCAAACTAGTTATCCTGCACGCACGAGCTTGCTAGCTGTCGGTGGAGTGGCCTTGTAGGTCGGTCTAAGGGCCTTTGGCCATTAAAGTTATGAAAGTTACTCCGTTACAGCATGGCGTTGTCACTCTGACTCCTTTTCTCCTTCTAAGAGAAAAGTAATGGCATCTACTGTTGTTCGGTAGGAATCTACCCTGAGCTGTCAAAACAGCTACTCCGCTAATGCAAAGTAGTAAGTAGTACACAGTGAAGTCCTCCTTTCCTGATGCCAGCGCTATTTTCTGTCTGATCTTCATTCGTGTCTTCTTCAGCATCTATGCAGTGCCCTTGTGTGTTCTAGAAGTCCTATTTCCTAAGAATAACAGCACTTTACACATTGAACACTGGATTAACTTACTGTAAAATTCCTGGGCTTCTTCCTGAAGACTTACATTCTTGCTTACTCTGCAGATTGATTTGATAACATGAAGGTGACTAGTACCTACCTGCTACTATTCTGGCTAGTTTCAAAAACATCAAAATTATATACTGTTTTGTTGTGTTTGCGTTCTTTTTGTTAGTTCTTTTTGTATTTCGTCAACAAAAACTTGCAAGCATATGCGTTTATACACAAATCAATAATAAGACTGACAAAATCATCTCTAGAGCAGCTTAGGAATCTAATTTACTAATCATGCAAACATGATTAGTCGTTAAGCTCCCACAAAGAGGAGCCTGGGAAGAAAGCTTAACAGTGTGTTCCTGCTTTTACAGTGAAGAATAATAAAAAAGGGACAGTCGAGGTGAAGTTAGAGGCTGTCCTGAAGTTAAATCTGTAAAGCATGGTAGAAAAAACTAACAATCCAAAGATCTGGAGTTAAGAAAGGCTTGGAGCTCTTAAAGAATTCATAGAAAAAGCATTGTGGAGGTGTGGGGGGGATGAGACTGGAGAAATAAGCTAGTACCACACTTATACCTAGAAAGTAGTCCTTTGTAACTGCAAATTATTATTAGACTTGTGGTTTCAAGTGTGACACATTTCCCCCTGAGAATTCTGTAGCAGTCACAAGCTGCAGACCAAGGTCTTTTTCTTTCCCTACCTCTACTGGCATCTCACTGAATTCTTTCAAGTTACTGATAGTCATTATAATATGATTTGTCTTCCTTTCCCTCCAGTCCTAAAATGTTAGCTTTCTCAAGGTGTTTTCCTTGACAGTGTGGTTCCTTTTTACAGCCCTCCCAGGAGAGGTTCCTGTTGCCCTTACTTGTGTCTTTGCCATTGTGTTGTCAGTGACTTTCAGCCCTGTAGATGACTTCTCAACTGACATTTCTTATACTGGCTTTGTTTCCAAGCTCAAAACAGACATTTCAGCTCCTTCCTTCCTTCCTTCCTTCCTTCCTTCCTTCCTTCCTTTTCCCTCCCTCCTTCCCTCCCTTCCTCCCTCCTCCCTCCCTCCCTCCTTCTCTCTCTCCCCCTCTCTCTCTTTCTTTCTTTCTAAATTAGAAACAAACCCTGAGAGAACATCCCTCCACATGGGATGGGCTCCCAAAGTCCATTTGTACGCCAGGGATAAAAACTGATCTACTACCTCCTCACTGACACCCACTGATCAGGGTGGATCTGGATCAGTCCCATGCTGGCCTCTCAGCCATCAGTCTGGGGTCCAGAGCTCCCCCTTGTTCAGGTCAGCTGTTTCCATAGGTTTCACCATCCTGGTCATGACCCCTTTGCTCATCACTCCTCCCTCTCTGCAACTGGGTTCCACGAGTCAGTTCAGTGTTTAGCTGTGGGTATCTGCTTCTGCTTCCATCAGCCATTGGATAAAGGCTCTAGGATGGCATATAAGGTAGTCATCAGTCTCATTATAGGGGAAGAGCATTTAGGATACCCTCTCCACTGTTGCTTAGATTGCCAGTTGGTGTCATCCTTGTAGATCTCTGGAAATCTCCCTATTGCCAGATCTCTCCTCAAACCTATAATGGCTCTCTCTATTATGGTTTCTCTCATCCTGCTCTCCTCTATTGGTCCCAACTCAACCTTCCTGCTCCCCCATGTTCTCCTCTCCCCTCCTCTTCTCCCATTCTCTTTCTCCCAGCTCCCTCTCCTCACCCCCCATGTTTCCAGTCTGCTCAGGAGATCCTGTCCCCTTCCCCTTCTCCAAGGTACGATGTATATCTCTCTTAGGGTCTTCTCCTGTTTCCCAGACTTTCTGGCAGTGGGATTGTAGGATGGCAATCCCCTGCTCCATGTCTAAAATCCATATATGAGTGAGTACATACCATGTTTGTCTTTTTGTGACTGGGTTACCTCACTCAGGATGGTTTCTAGTGTCTGCGAATTTCAAGATTCCATTGTTTTGTTTTTCCATTGAGTAGTACTCCATTGTGTAAATGTACCACATTTTCTCTATCCATTCTTTGGTTGAGGGGCATCTAGGTTGCTTCCAGGTTCTGGCTATTACAAATAATACTGCCTTGAACATAGTTGAACAGGTGTCCTTGTATGAATTTGCATCTTTGGGTATATGCCTAAGAGTGTAATTGCTGGATCTTGTGGTAGACTGATTCCCATTTTCCTAAGGAATCTCCATAATGATTTCCAAAGTGGCTGTACAAGTTGGCACTCCCACCAGCAGTGGAGGAGTGTTCCCCTTTTTTCACATCCTCTCCAGCATAAACTGTTGTTGGTGTTTTTGATTTTAGCCATTCTGACAGGAATAAGATAGTATCTCAGAGCTGTTTTGATTTGCATTTCCCTGATGGCTAAGGATGTTGAGCACTTTCTTAAGTGTCTATCAGCCATTTTAGACTCCTCTATTAAGAATTCTCTACTTAGTTCTGTACCCTACTTTTTAATTGAATTATTTGGTGTTTTGGAGACTAGCTTCTTGAGTTCTTTGTAAAATTTGGACAGATCAGCCCTCTGTCAGATGTGGGGTTGGTGAATATCTTTTTCCAATATGTGGGCTGCCATTTTGTCTTGTTTCGTTTCAGCATTTTCTTACATTATATTCGTGTGTGTGTGTGTGTGTGTGTGTGTGTGTGGGGGGGGGGGT